ATCGACGAAATTTGTATTCTGAGCTCGAGATGAGGTGTCTGACTAAATTTGGGTGTCTAAGCTGACCAATAGTTGCTATCTCCGCCAATAGTGGCATTCCTTGACTTGAATTATGAGAAAAGCGTTTAACAACAATCTTTGCTTCTCTTTTGCCTAGAAGTTGTTTGAAACCATTTGTGGCTTTACAGAATTCCTTTGTAGGAAAACCATTTTGTGGTTTTAAAGAGTTACTATTGTAGTGGAAGTTTCTCATTGAGCAAATTCTTATCGAGAAATCTGATTTCTTTTTTTACTTCAATCTGCTTAGGTTGTAGAGTGTGTGTTGAACAAAGTTGTGAAAGAAGTCTCAGAAGTGTGACATAAGACAACATGAGGAAGAAGAAGAAAACAGTCCATCACAGGTCGTAGAAGAAAAGCTCCAGAGGACAAATTCTGAACTCTGACAAGAGATTCTTCTGAATCAACACAAACACATCTAGGTAACTGTCATTGTGTTTGCAACTTTATGGCGTTGGAGCAATCACAAGTAAAACGCAGTTTCAATTTTGTATTATCTCCTACAGGAGTTGAAGCAAACCTTAAACACTACAAAAGCAGGAATGCAATTACTGCAGATGAAGTATCAAGAAGATTTCTTTCACCTAGGTGTCAACGCAGATAATGTTCTTTCTATATCCTTGTTCAGGCCTCAACCAACTGGTTTGAGTTCTGTGGAACAGATAATAGTAACTCTTTAAAACTATTTGCTTCATTTCTTGAATTTCCTGTTCTTATTGGAGGAATGATGGCGATGTAGACCTTGAGTTGTTTGTTCTTCTTGTTTGTTTCAGACTTTGTAGACTTTGTTTCAGACTTTGTTAACGTAATGCTCTTTCATAAGTAAGTTAATCAAGTTGTTAAGGTTTATGTTCTTAATGCTATGTAAGATTTAATTCTATCCAGTTTGTAAGACTCTAATGTCAAGTTTATGCTTCTATTATGTTGTTTTTTGAAAAAACGACATGGCTTTTGTTTTGCCAAAACTACACGTTTAAAGGACCATGTTCGAATACGTCGACAATACAGCCAAGGGTTATATAGCGGGGTTTTTGCAAGTTCATAGGTTTAGTTTGCACATAATAAAACTGAATGGTAGATTTGCAAAAAAATTAAGTTCAATGGTTTTTTTGCACAAAACCCTATATAGTACATAAGATCATCTGTTACTTTATTTATTTGTTTTGACTTGTCCACGAAAGTGGATGTGAATGTGATTGACTGTGTCGTTTTGTGTTTGGTTTTTCTACATTCAAAGCCCGAACTCTAAAGTTACATTCAAACAAATCTTTTTTTTGGGTAAGATTCAAACAGTATGTCACTAGGTTGGCTACAAACTCTTTTTTATTTTGTTCTACTAGAAAAACAATTAGCCCACAAAAGTAATGATTCATATTATTTTTGATTCATAATTTAGTTGAAATGTTGAATACATGCGCTAACACATGTTACTGTTGCCAAATAAAATATTTTTTTAAAAAAAACTTGAATAACTGGAGTTTTAGATAAAAACTTAAATAACTGAAATTTTAGATAAGAAATTATGGCCAACAAAAAAAAAAGGAAAAGAAAAAGAAGAAGTCATGTTCGACGAGAACTCTGGATAAAGAACTTGTCTAGAGATTTAGATGAACACAAATTAAGACGATCAAGATACCACTAGATATCTATAATTGTCGAGGAAACGTCAGCTCCTTATACTTTTGGACCGAAAGTGGATGGATCATCGCTCTTCAGTGGTGGTTCTTTGATGACAGCTGTTATCTCGTCAAGAGTATGACCGTTCTGACAAAAAAAATGAAAAAAACTAATCTTATCAGTCACTTCAATGTATCGCAGCTGATGATCTTTCGCTCCAACTTTCGCAGCTTCTTCTTAACAAAATCGTAAAGATTCTGCACAATAAAGCCAGGATGATCTTTACTGTCTGGGACTTCCTTGTTATCCGGCACGAAATTCACAACGCAATTGTGCTTCACGGATTCAGCAAACACTTCATCGCGATGGAAACTGTAGAAGAGGTCCCTTGCATCTTTGGATTCCCATTTTCCGAGATATTCTTCCTCGACATCTTCTGGACGATAAAACCACTGCACTACAAGCTTCACGTATCCTTCTTTGCCTATTATATAAATGTCCTGTCCAACAATATAAATTGATTAATATAAGGTAAAAACTGAAAATTATGTCAACAATTCTCTTTTGATTTTTAACCTTTATGATAGCGGCATAGGGCTTCTGGTTGCGGACTCTGCCTTCATTAACACCGAATCCTCCTATGCAAAAAATGGTATAAAATATATAAATTGGAGCTTTTGTTTTATTAAAATGTTGTCCAAATTGTTATGTGAGTTTTCTTTTAAACACTAAAAAGCTGTTGTAATTAGACAGAAAAAAAATTAAGAAATCTTAAGGAAAACAAAACTCACCAGTTCATATTTTATGCCACGAAACTCAAATTTCTTGTAGTGGCCTTTCTTCTTAAGTCCTGTACCAGTAAACTTAATCACTTTGCCAACTGGCTGCGCACAATCCTCTCGTTTCCACTGCAACTCTTTTTTCTTCTTCATCGGTCTTTTCTCGGTATTTTCATTCTTTCGCTTACTCTGCTTCCTTACCGTTTGTTCGGCATTAACCTTTGAATCCTCTGATCCAGACAACGGAACAATGTCTTTTCCACTGTCTTCATCTTTGCTAATTACCACTTGATTGAATTGCTCAGTCAACATCTCTTTGGTGAACATGTGATACGATTTCAAATTGGATTTTAACCCTGCAGTAAAATTATGATCATTAGAAGAGAAATTGTTGGCATCAACCTGACAACATAATTTTTTTATGCCGGGATATTTAATGAAATAAAGAAAATAAACGATGGTAGAATAATTTGACATCTCAATAGAACACAGTCTTTATTATTCAGCCTAACATACAAATATATACGTATAAAAGTAATCAGCCAATATCTGAATAGTAACAAAAATGAGTTTTATAAAGATTGTGATATAGGCTAGGCTAATTATTTTCTTTTTTTAAAACTAAAATACTGTACCTTAGACATTGTAAATGTATATTATAAACTTCATCGCGATGGAAATTCACAATGCAGCTGTGCTAAATATGTGATAGAACAAAAAAATGTGAATTACTAATGCTAGTTAAAAATTGAATCACCCAAAAAACACCAATTAGTCTGCAACAAAAAAAACATATAACAAATTATCTAATACATTGATGAGTATATATTAATGTTCATGTGCTACGTGGTGGCTAGGATCCTAAATCAATACTATATGGTGGTTTAGACGGTTGAGATGACCATCTAAAAATCCAATTAGTGTAATTTTGGATTTAAAATAGTTCTGCAGATTGGAAGAACATTAAATTTAATAATTTTGTTATATTAGTGTGCAATGAACGATTAATGAATATATATATTGTGTGTGTATCCTACTCATTCATTCTAATCTCTTCTCATATCACATTTGATAAATATAAGAATAGTTCATAAATCACCCACCAAATTGAAAAATATATCATTTTACTTACTCAAAAACATAAACAAAAATTCTCAAATGACAAAAAGCTTGAAAATTTACTACCAGATAACTACTCCAACTTTATAATAAAAATTGCCTTAATAATTTAGATTATCTATCAAAATTAGTTTACGATGTTTATCCCAATAGATCAGTATTTGATTCTGTTTTGACTTCTCCTAACAAATCAAAGTATTCATACATGCAAAATTCTGAAATAACCGATAGTTTTCCGATTAGTTTTCTGGGTGTTAGGCCGTACCCGAACACCCGATTAACGTCTAGCGCATTCTCGAACACAGGTTTTATGAAAATTTACTAACAGAAAAATACTCAAACTTTGTAATAAAAATTACCTTGAGTATTTAGATTAACTATCCAAAATTCGTACTTTATGTTTGTCCCAAGTAGATCAGTATTGATTTGATTCCGTTTCGGCTTCCGCTACCAAATCAAAGTATTCACGCACGCCAAATTTCTGAAATATCCAATTATTTTCCGATTAGTTTTTTAGGTGTTAGGCCTTACCCGAACACCCGATTACGTCTAGCGCATTCTCGAACACAGGTTTTATGAAAATTACTAACAGAAAACTACTCAAACTTTGTAATAAAAATTACCTTGATTATTTAGATTAGCTATCCAAAATCCTTACTTGATGTTTATCCCAGTAGATCAGTATTTGATTGATTCCCGGCTTCTGCTACCAAATCAGCAAATCAAAGTATTCACACACCCCAAATTTCTGAAATAACCAATTATTTTCCGATTAGTTTTTCTAGGCGTTAGACCTTACCTGAGCACCCGATTAACACCTAGCGCATTCTCGAACAGATGTTTATGTGATTTTTTGTGAACTTTTGTCTTTTGGACTTGTTTAGTACTCATATATAATAATCTTCAAATGAATACACTGCTAAATTACAATAGATGTATTCTTCAAATTTCCATTTTTAGTTAGAGACTTATAAAGAAATATAATAATGTAAAAAAAGAAAATATAAAATATTTTTGACTATTCATAGAATTCTTACATCTCTTCAATAACAATATAAAATAAAAGTTATTTATATGGTGTCAACCACTCTTTTTATTTTTCTTAATTAAAGTAAAAAGAAAAAAAATCATTTGATGATCTGTCATTTACAAAATTTCAGATTGTGTTTTTGGAATATATTTGGATTTATTTCTTTAATGGTTTATGCATGCATTGGAGGCCATAGAGTTTGAAATGTGGAAGAAATTGAAAAATAAATTTCCTTAAATTCTTGACAGCCTTTTTAATTTGATAACACTCATATGTTTTGACAGCTTTTTAACTTATTAGTATTTCCTTTTATTTTCTTAACAGCCTTTTTAATTTAATAATATTTTCTTTTAATTTTCTTAATAGCCTTTTAAAATAATACACATATATTTTGATGTATATGTATTAAACATCATTAATAATATAGGTATGCATGAAAATTATAGAAATAATAACTAAGGAATTTTTTTTGACAGCCTGATTAAGTTAATAATATTATTCATATATGCATTCAAATTTATTAAATAAAACAAAGAAATTTTAATGAAAAGCCCCTCAATATTAGTTCAATACATTTTAAACTTTCAACTATTCTTTAGTGACAAAAACCCTCGGCTTAAATCTGTTACAATGAAATCAACTCCATCTACTGAAATGTTTAATCCCCTAACAGTTTTCGTCTACATTAACATAACGTTGTGTTATTTCAAATCAAGAGGAGATAAGTTATTATACTAAGAACTGTTAATATACTGTTACAACAGTTACAATGGTCATTTGAAATAAATCTTGAAGTGTAGTTTTCCAAAATGTAAAAATGATTAAACTACGAGAAGGAGAATACGTAAGAAGGTTCCTTTTGGCAGTGTTCTAATACCCCATCCTGAGCATCAAAACAAGAAGGAGACTAATAAATAAATAAATAAAAACAGTATGGTTGGCATATAGGAAACAAAGTAGCATCTCCCAGAAATGTTACCTGTTGGCACCTTGTCCCTCTCTGTACAAGTCGATTTCCACACACATGTCACATTCACACTTTCTACAGCATTCCTTAATGATCAACTGTCCATCACATTTTGCATGTATGCCCTGGTCGTGATTGAAGCAAAATTTATGGAACCTATCTGGTGGCTTTTTCATCTTGTCCATAAACTTCTCCTTTAGCAACCCTTGTTTGGTATAAGCATATTCTCCACGAGCACAAGCACATGGAAAGTCGGCAGAAAGACAGTGCAACAATCTTCATCGGAAATCCGAGCCAAATACACATGCATATAAGTACACAATGTTGTGAGGAAGTACACAATGTTGTGAGGGATGTAAGTAAAATTTGGCTCTGAAACTTTAGCTATGTCAGAAATTCTGTTATTATATTTCATCCATTGCTATGCTGTGGCTGCTTCTGGACTACCTGAATGTGCATGTTCTCCTCCATTTGTCCTTGAGATCATCCGGAATGGAACACCTTCTCTCCCATATTAAGAATCTTCCTCCATGGCATGTTCTCCCAAAATTCTCCACTCCGAGACAATCGCTAACCAAATCATGAGATAAGAGAAAACTAAAAACATTATATTCAATAAAAAACGACACGTCACAGAGCTGATGTTAGGGTGATGAAGGAGAATGGAAGAGGTTCGTTGTATGGCAACATACTTTCTCCATTTCAACTAAGATCTTATCATGCCGTTGTGCCCATCTGGATTAGAGATGGAACTACTGAGAAACAAGTTTACAAGATTCTGGTCATGTGTGGAAGCTAGGAGAAGTATTGTGTGTTAAGGTTCAGCTAAGCTGGTTAGAGAGATTAGCAGTGATCATGATATCATCAGTAATTCAATATATACATATAGGTGACTTGTTGTTTATATCATCAGTACTTCAATATATATATATATATATATATATATATATATATATATATATATATATATATATCAAGAATAGATCATTATAAAAACTTCTTTTTTTGTTCATTTAACCAGCAAGAATGTTTACCTTTCATGTCTACCTCTGGCTCACATCTTCGATCGCGTGGTTGAAGAGCTTTTTATATGTCAAGCAGCCTCTATAGGATTTTGGAGAGAGGTAACTTTGTTATAATAATTTGTTTGCTCTTTTATTTAGAGACTCTGTTTCAAAAGAGAGCAATATAATATTTTTCATAATCTGTTTTTTTTCGGGATGTTAAGACAGACATTTCTGCTCTGAAACCCACTGTTTTATGCGCTTTCCTCGTGTGCTAGAGAAAATAATACACTGGAAATGTATAAAATATTTTGCAAGACTTCTTTATAAATTTTATTTTCCAAGATCTTGGCATGGCAAACTTTGTTTTAACTGAAGAAACAATTTTCGACGGCCTTCGTAAAATGCTACTAAATCTTAGACTAACCAGAAATTTAAGTCTAAACGAAGTCAACTGAAAAGCTAGTAACCCACAAAAATATAACCCATATATTCAACTAGTCAACATACAAGAAGACAGCAAAACTTGGGAATATGCAAACCATGCCTTGTCAAAGAAGTCATCTGTTAAATTCAGATTCTGCAAATAAGACTCAATTACTAAATCACAAGTCACAAGTCACAACCATTCAACTGTAGACCCAAAAAGGAAAATCTTTTCTTGCTATAAAACGTGAGGTTTCTAATGTTGGAGCAGTGAACTTGGGTTGGTTATGCGGAGAAGGCTCTAAGTGTCATGGGGCTTGGGAGGAAAAACAAGTGTTTAGGGTAAACAACCCCAAGTCATGACTCAGATTGTAGAGAGTAGGCACTATCAAACTTGAACAAACCAAAAAGCATTCGAGTACATTTTTCCTTTTGATTGTTGAGCACATGTTTTTCGAGTTCTGTAGCGGTGCCTCAAAACGCTCCTATCTTGACGAAAATTTTGAGGCCAGGTCAAGTTTCGACTTTCGACTACTTTCATTAATAAATAGTATAAATAAGTTCACTAACCTAATCACAAAGCTGGAATAGCTCAGTTGGTTAGAGCGTGTGGCTGTTAACCACAAGGTCGGAGGTTCGACCTCTCCTTCTAGCGTTTTTATATTATTTAAACTGCGATTATTATCATCACTCTCTTGTTTCTACCATTTGTTGACATTCTTAAGCTAAATTTTTTAAAACTTCTGCAGTAATAATTATAAAGATGCTATTTTTTTGTTTGTGTTGTATACATAAAACTCTAAATTACAGCTTCTTGCTTGAATACCTTTACTATAAATAAGAGCAACAAACAAACAAACAAACAGACTTCAAAAGTGAGAGAAGGAGTTTCAGGCAACAATGTTGGAGACAGGACCTGTAAACCAATGGCGTGCGCTTATAACCCAATACAAGAGAATTATAGCCAACACACCAGCAACAGCCACCGGCGTGTAGTTGAGGGTCTCTGCAGCTATAGGATACGCCACAGGAAGCGAAAAGAGCACAGAGATGGTTGCAACCCATATCACCGCCACCCACCCAACCACCATCCCGTACTTGCCAAGCGTGAACGGTCCAGCCACAAAGGTGTTGCGTGACAGCGTCACTCTCAGAAATATCGGTATCGCGTATGCTATGTACAGCCCGATCGTCGCTATCGACACCATTGCTTGGAACGCCACTATGCTCCCCAGTGACGTGAGCGCCATACAGAAGGAAATGGAAGCAGAGAGCCAAACCGCGTTGATAGGAACCTCTCTGCTGTTCACTTTGTGCCACAACGGCGACAAGGGCATGGCTCCGTCTCTCGAGAACGCGTAAGCCATCCTTGAATTGCTGGTGATAGAGCTCATCCCGCAGAAAAACACAGCAACCGCGACAACGCCTAAGCAGACGATTCCACCAGTGCCGCTCCCGAACCTGCTCTTGAAAGCTAAGTAGAAGATCTCAGCAATGGCGTAACCACCAGAGTCGTTGTCCTCACTCAGAAGGTAGGGTATGTCCGTGACCGTATAGCTTATCCCAACTATGTAACCCCATCCGAACAGAATCGATATCCCTATTGCACTTATTATCCCTCTTGGCCCGTTCTTGTCTGCGTCTATCGTCTCCTCCGTCTACAACTTATCATCGTCAAGAAAAAGCTTTTTAACAGTTATAAAAACAGAATCAGTTTTACTCACCATGTGTGCAGAGGCATCATAGCCTGTAATGGTGTACTGGCTCATGAGGAGGCCAAGAACGAATATGTAAGCGTAGCTGGTGATGCCGACGTCATTGTCAGTGTTAAAATTGGTGAAGACGAACTTTGTGGTTGCTCTCTCCGTGGAAACCAGAGGGATCAGAATCATGAGCAACACAACCCCTGAATCGTAGAATCTTAGTTAGGCATAGAGAGAAACAGAGAGATGAAATTTGAAGAGAGAGATTTTGGTGGTACCGAGGAGATTCCAGAGAGCGGCGAGCTGTCCGATGAAGGACAAGACGGAGATCGGGAGGCTGTTGAGAAGTGCGTGGATGAAGAGGATTCCTCCGTATATAGCAATCACGACGAAGTCGGATCCTTCGTAACCACCGCCGTTTTTACCGCCGGTGGAGAGAAGAGCGATCACTTGAATCAGCTGCGCCAGAGAGAAATCAATGCTCGCCGTCACTGCCCACTGACCAACGATGTTGAACCTGAAATGAATCAGAGAGACGATTGCTTCCATTTTTAACAATTCGAATTGATTTTGAGAGAGAGAAGAGAAGAGAGAAGGTTGTACCAGCCGGTCATCCAAGAGGCGAGTGGGGCCCATCTGGGGCCGGCGAGCATGGCACTCCAGTAGTAGAGACCGCCGGAGGTTGGGTAAGAGGAGCAGATCTCGGCCATGGATAAGCCGACGCACATTGTGAATCCTCCGGCGAGGAACCATCCGTAAACGAGAGTGACGGTACCGCCGAATCGCAAACCGGTGTTGTAGGTGGTGGTGATACCGGTGAGCACGGAGATGATGGAGAAGGAGATGGCGAAATTGGAGAAGACGCTGAAAAGTCAAAGTCAAATGTTGATTTAGCACTTCGAGGAAAAATCGAAATTTGAGAGCAGAGAAAAACAAATGAAGGTGAGAGTGAGTGGAGAGAGAGACGAGAGATCGCGCTTGAGCTCTTGCTTGTAGCCGAGCTCTTTGAGGCGGGCTTGGCCAGAATCCATGGAGGGAAGTAGAGATTGAGTTTGTTCTGAGAAGCCGACCATAGTCTTTGCTCACTTTAGTCACTCCAAAGTTTGTTGGGCTGTACGTTTCGGATGGGGTTTTTTTCTGTTACGTGCGTACCCCTCCAAACTCTCCAATCTTAATCTTTAGTGCAATAAAATCTTTTTTATTTGTGAGATCTCAAGCATCTATATAGTATTAGTACATGAATCACATGATCAGGAACCTCAAAATATGTAACTTTTAAAAAGAAGATTAAGGGGGCTATTTTTAGTGATTTGTATTAAAATGTCAAATCTCATGTAATTCAAACTTGAATTCTAAAAACTCTTATAAAATCAAGTGTTATTAAACTTGTGATTTAAATCCATTCTAGTGTTATTGGAAATATTTTAAGAAGTGGATTTAGAAAAATTGTTATGATTTTAGAATTGTTTGGTGAGTTTTCTGTTAAAAATATGATAATTAAAGGGTCTGATTGGTTGTGGCTGTATCTTTGAATTTTTTGCTGTAGAATTTATGCTGTAGAATTTTTGGCTGTGATTGTAGATTTTAGTGCTGTAAGATTTTTTATTGTAGATTGTGGCATTAAATACAGCATTAAAAAAAAAAATAAGATATAGAAATAATAGATTAAAAAATAAATGTTGAAAACATAATAAGGAAAGAGAAAAGAGAAAAGAGAAAATTCTAAAAGCACTTAATTTTGTGCTCTAGAAAAATTGCTTTCCAAAGCCACAGAATTTCCATAAACAAAAAAAATTGCTCTGCGTTTCAAAAATGGAAAGAAATGAAATGAGAGCTTGATTGGTGATTTTGGATTGCTCTACAGAGATTTAGTGCTCTGTAGAGCAATCACAGCTCCTACCAATCATCCCCAAAATCTCATGATTTAAGATAGGATTCTTGAATACTTTATAACTAAAATCGTAGAATTATCTTGTAACAATTTTCATAATTTGTACTAGATTAGTCAATCAGTGTTAAAAAAAAACTAAAATCATAGAAAATTTTACAATATACTACAAATCATCTAAAAAACTTGCTAAAAAAAATTAAATCTATATCACTCCATATCTTTAAGTCAATCATAGAAAGTTTGGTGTGAAATGAGATATCTGTCAATGTTGATACTCTCAGTCTTTACTTATAACCAAAAGCCAAAAGTATGTAATAATTAATCAACTATTCAAAGTAACAAAACAAAAAAAAAACAGTTGTCTTTGACCATTCTATGATGATGACTATATATAGTCATGTACGCTACTGAATAAATTAGAGAAAATGTTTTAAAACAAACATTGGAGTGACTCAAGTGATCATGACTATAGTTTCAATTTCCAAAGCATCAAATTACATCCAAATTCATGATCAGTGACTTATAAAAAAATTGCAAAATATGACAAACCATAAAACTTGCTGATTTTGCCTATTTTAAGAACTAACTGATTTTGCATATAATGTATGAGTATTTAAACGTCTACTTGTTCACAATAGGCAAAATCAGTAAGTTCTTTATTAGTAATCGTTCTTGATCATTAGCATACCATGTTAGGTGCATGTGTATTTACCTAACTAATAAAACATCGATCTTATTCTTGCCATACCACATGTTAGGTGCACGTGTGTGTCACTCACTTTCCTCATCCGTCTAACGGTCTAAAGAGCCACTTTCCTCATCTGGTCGATCGTGAATATATTGACAACGATTCAACCATCATGCAAATCTCCAAAATCCAAGCAGCTTGTTAAAATTCATCAAACAAATTAGTCTCCACTGACAAAGGCCAAAGCCATAATAAAACGAAGCGTAGATTTACAAATGTAAGACGTTTAAATACACAATACACTCCCAACGGCTGAAAAAGTGAAAATAAAACCAAAAATAATGAATCAAATAATAAAAGAGAATCATCGAATCATCTTGGAGCAGTGTTAGTGCCAGATTCCATGTTCTCGAGAGAAGTCGGTTCCACCTGAAGAGACATTGCCCTCAACGCATCTCTGTTCTGAGAGCTCACGTTATCAGCTCCACGTTCCTGCGCTGCTTTGAAATACGCGTAAGGACCCCATCCTTCTTCATGGTAAGGGTTAGGATAAAACTGACGATAACAAAAGGCGGCGACAAAGAGACCAATGAGAGCTCCGGCGAAGACATCTTGCCAGTGATGCCAGTAGTCATCCACACGCGACACACCCACGAGGCAAGCCGCGAGCAGAGGGAGGAACACGAGGCAGAGCTTAGCCACGTGTCCTTCTCTGTTAAACGCCTTGAGTTTCCCAGACAAGTAGAGCGAGAGGTATCCGAGCCCAGCGAAAGACCACGACGTGTGTCCGCTCGGGAAGCTCTTGTGACCTTCCTTGACCTCTCCGGCTGCTCCATGGCAAATCACACCTCCCAACGCGTCGTAAAGCTCTTTCCCGTCGGGGAAGCAGCGCCAGTAGAAGTTAGGACGAGGACGTCCGGTGGCGAGCTTGATGGAGTCGGTGATGACGCCGGTGATCAAGACGGTGAAGAGGAGGCCGAGGATGGAGTGGTGGAGATCGTAGACGCATGTCCTCTTCATGTAGAAGCAGACGAAGACTATGATCGGAAGAAGGACCGCGTAGATTGGGACAGACCAGACGGGGACGGTGTTGTCGTTGAAAGGGTATTTGAGATCAGTCATCATGTCTTTGCCAACGTATCTATAGAAAGGAGGGATTAGTTGCAGACCGATCTCGATTGCCACTAAGATGACGAGTATGATCCAGTCGTGTTTGTGTTTGATTGCGACTCTTCCTCCATGGCTCTTTACTGTGTGGACTCCGAGATCTATCTCCTGCATCCTCCCCCTCTGCGGCTCCTCTTCCTGCAACAATTACACAATTCACAATTCATAATCACAATCTACTAAAAAAATTGGAATTAAGAAACAGTTGATGTGTAAGAAATTAACTACTAATTGGGGATTAGGGTTTGAGGAGTCCGATTTGGATGAGCGTAATAACGGAATGCAATTCATTCTCAATCGCATAAAATCAGCGAAGAGATGGTTTCTTAGTGATATTATTTTTGTTACTATTACAACCAAGACGAGAGACTTCCTCTACAAATCCAGCAATTTTTGTCTGTCATTAACAATACTTTCGTTGACTTTTAACTAACTTATCAAGTTGAGTTTTTTTTATTTCAATTTAAACAAGACAAGGATGATGTGGAAGAAGAGGAAGAGAGAAGAGTCGTGATTAGGTTACCTGAGAATTGCCCCAGAACTTGAGAGGAGAGAAAAACGATCCAATTGCCATCGGACAATGACGTTTCCGATTAAGCTTCTGCGATACAGTGTGAATCGAAATTCAAAGAGAGAAACAGACTAGGGCGAAAGCGATAAACTGAATATTTCCCAGAAGAAGAAGAAGACGCGTTTGTCTTGGTTAGGTTTTCCAAACTTTTTGTTGAATTTTGAAAAGATGGGTTTCGATTCCACTTGACGGTTTATAGAAGAAACAGAGAGATTTTTGGAGCGGTCAAAGAGGTTTTTGTGTGTTGACTTTTTGACTTTTATCACCACCGGGTCTAACCTAGCCTTCTTCTCCAACCGCGTGGGTCCCAACTTTCTTTCTAGGAACTTTCGAAATTCAAAGTCTGTCGCTGTGTAATTTACCTTAATGGGCTTTTTAGTTAAGCCCTCAATATGGGCCTTCCTTCCTCTTTGTCTTGTAATTTTTGTAAGGCAGCATTATTACGGAATGATTTATTTGGTGTTTTTGTTTGGACATGCTTGTTATGATAGTACCCAAATATCATACCAATCACTCTCACACCTTATGAAACATTGGAAGCATCCCAAACGCACTGAGAATCGTTCGCATATCACCAAAAAGAAAATGGTAATATTCAAGATATCACATATCCAAGATGAATACAAATGTAGATCATATTTCGAGTATTTAAGATATCCAACTGGAAGAATCAAAAACTGGATCTCATTGATGGAGAAAGTATAAACTACTGTTTGTGAGAGTGCCAATTAGAAGATGAAGTAAAAGTCACAATTCTGGCTGGTTTTATTTTGGAATACATGGCAACTTGAGAGATGCTTTGAGGAGTCAGAATGTTTGTTAATTTCTATCTCTTTATTTGTTTCTAACGAAATTTCAAAAGATTATCACTTGGACTTTCAAATCATCCTTTTCCTATTAACGGGAATTTTATTCGTTTCTATCTTAAAGATACACAAAATTGACAAATTATTGTTGAACTACAACAAGAGTTTGTGGAACACGCAATTAGACCAAGAACAACCTTTTTACATAATCGTTGCATCTTTACCAACCAATAATAATCTAATTCAGTTTGGTTTACAGATAGTGTTGTTCATTTTCCGTCTAGTGTGAGTCGTGTGACTGATTACAAATCGTGTATATTTTAAAGAACACTGATTTAGTAATTTTTAAGTAAAAAATAATATTGGTTGATAATTTTAACACTTTTGTATATGATTAATTATCATCCACAGCAAAATAAACTAGCTGGACACGTTCCAATGATGAGTAGTAGAAAATGAAGATTACACTTTGTAAAGTAGGTGGAGTTATACGTTACTGAGTGGGGTTTGTGGGTCCAGTAGGTGGTGGGCTTTCTTCATGGCCCATCCTTAAATTGGATACAACCTTTTTTTCCTCGCATTAATGAACGTTTTACTTTACAAATTAACCTGATTAACCCGCCAATTTTTTTTTTTTGGGGTTAAAAAGGTCTTCATATGGGAGAAAGATTTAAAGACTACTGTGTATTTGTTTATGATAAATAAACAATTTAAGATTAAATGTAAAAGAAGGTAACAGAGAGGGTCAATCCGAAGGTTTTGACGACATCTCGGCCTCCAAGACACCAAAAAGTTACGAAAAAACGAACAATTTGTAATAATTACAAACTTAAAATATGCCAAAGAGTGAAGTTTGCCAGCTATAGCTTCTTTCCTTCCTGAGCTGTTTTTTAGTTGGACCCACTTTTTCTTCTCTTGTACTTTTTTGTTTCCTTCATTTTTTTATTTTT